GCGGCTCACACGCATGTGCGTGGCAGCACCACAGTCTGCGTGGGCCACGCGGCAGCCCCTGCCCTGCGGCGGCGACGGTCACAGCTGAGACCCCAGAGCCACGCTCCCCCCCCCCCAGGGGCAGTCAGTGAGCCTTCCGCGGCGTCCTCGTCGGCGGCGTCTCGAGAGTCCCGGCTACTCTGGCGCTCGGTGGCCAGTGCGGCCGCAGCCCCACGGCGGGCGGCCAAGGGAGCTGGGCGTGGGGCTCCCCCTGCAGACGGCCTCACGCCTGGGCTCCGCCGTGACCAGGGTCCCCGTGGGACGCTCGCTGATACGGGCGGCAACCTGTGCCAGGCCGTCCCTGCGCAGCCCCGGTCCTGCTCGGGGCTCTCGCTGCCTGCGCTTGGGGTGGCGCCCGAAGAGGAAGCGCGGCGGCCGTGTCCTCACTCCGCCGTGTTCATGTGTGGGGTCAGCTCAGCGTCCACGGGTCACGTGCTTCAGATGTTTCCACTCCCCTGTGCTGATCGCTAGTTTGCCCTACTGTGGCTGGAGAATGCCCTTTGTATCATTTCAGTCACTGAGGTGCGATTCGTGGCCTGATGCGGCCTTTCCTGGGGCCGGAAAGAGCGTGTGTGCCGCCGCTGCCCGGGGGTGGCATTCTCCAGACGGGGCCACGCGGCTGGGCTCCTGGCCAACTCCTGCCGAGCTGCTTATCAGAGTCTCTAACTGTTTTGAACTAATTCTCCTTTTTAAAATCCATTCTGCCAATTTCTGCTTTTTACCGTGTGTTCCTGAAAATAAGAAGACACCCTAGGGCTTATTTTCAGGGGATGTGTTATTTTCCCCTCAAAGCCTCAGCTTGCAGCACGCACAGGATGGCCGGGACCTGCGCCGGGAGCTGGCCTTGTGGGTGTGGGGCTGCCCGCACCTTTTGGGTCACCTCTGGGATAGTAGCTGTCACGATGGGGCTGATAAGGGCTGCTCATTGTCTTTCCCGCTCTGTGACGGCATGCATGGACTGCAGATACGCTACGTAGCCATGCCCAGGACTAGGGCTTATTTTCAGGGAAACACGGTAATAGGAAAATTTGATCCGGTTGCTGTTGAAGTGATTGCTGGTAAGAATTCTGCCATTTTGTTGTTTCTTCTGACATCTGCTGTTTCTCCATTTCTCCGCCGCTGCCTCTGTGCTGAGCAGAGCTCCTAGTGTCCCTCTTAAGGGCCTGTTTCTTTTACTGTACTTTCCAGCTTTTTTTTTTTTTTTTTTTTTTTTTTAAAAAAAAAACAACTGGTTGTTGGGATTGTAACTACCATCTTGCTAAAATCCAGTTTGGATAAATGTCATCCTAAGTGGATTCCCACAGTATCCAAACCATTGGCTCCAACACGGCTGTCTCCCCCAGTGCTACAAATTACACATAAACTGATCTTTATACGTTGTATGACCCCATCAACAGTTTTATAACTATTGCTTCATTGTTTGTTAAATAAGACACATTAAAAACAAAATACATTCATACTTTTGTGCTTATTTGTACCAGTGTTACTTCTTCATGTGGACTTGAGTTACGATTCACCACCTTTCAATTTTGCCTGAGGGGCTCCTTTTTATTCTTTTTAGCGCATATCTGTTTGCAGTAAATTACGTTTTTGTTTATCTGGAAATGTCCTAATTTCCCCTTAATTTCTGAAGGACAGCTCTGCCGGTCATGTAAGTCCTTGCTGACAACCTCACTCCCGCAGCTCTGGCTCCACCCACTGCCCTTGACTGTCGCCGTGCATATGATGAGCCGTGTGGACCTCACTCCCCAGTGTGGGCTGAACTGGTTTCTCTTGCGGCTCCCGAGACTTTGCCTTTTGCTTTTGACAATTTGATCATGACTCTTCTAGGTGTGGATCACTTTGAGTTTATCCTGCGTGGAGCTTTGTGAAGTTTGTGGAGCTTCTTGGATGGATACAGGCTAACGTTTTTCATCCCAGTGTAGGGGCAGAGGAATTCTTCTACTTGTCGGGAATTCACTTGGGTGGGGCAATGAGCTAACGGCAAACCTTTGCTTCTGGTCATTGCTTGCTTGCTACACCCCTGTAAGGGGAATTAGGGATGAGGTCATTGAAGCACGGGCAACTGGCCTATCAGGCAATAGAGGGCAACCAACCCGCCATTATTTCAAAAGCAATAGTGGGCAACCAATCATTTTAAAGGTCAACGCATGATCCATGCGTAGTCGGCTTGTGCGCAGCTTGTGCACCATGGGGATAAAAGGCATGCCGTTGTTCGTGTCGGGTCCTTGCCTGCGAGAGTGGCCACTGCGTTGGTGCTCTGGGCTTGGACCTGGCTAGCCAGAAATAAACCTCCTCTTGTGTGATTGCATCCTCGATGTCTCTGCTTTTCTGTCTGGTGGGCTGTGGAAGGTCGGTCCCTAACATTTGGGGGCTCGTCCGGGTTTGCCTTCCCCACAGACTACAGATAGAACTCAGGGCTGAGGAGGAGTGTGAAAATCCACCCGGACTAGCCGGGTGTGGTGTTAGGCAAGGACGTGGAATCCCCTTGCAGGACCCCGAATCAGGACGCGGCACAGGACCTAGGCGGACGCGCTGGTGTGGTCGCGGTAGGAGCCAGGCGGACGTCCTCTGGCCCCGTTTGGACTCCGGAGCTGACCTTGTAGCCAAGGGCTCGGTCAGGAGGAGACCGGGGAGTAGGTCCGGACTAGGTTAGGTTGTCTGTTTACCTCACTGTCCACTTGTCTTGTCTGCTTTGTTTGTCGCCGGCTTTCTGTGTGTGTGTGTGTGTGTGTGTGAGTGAGTGTGACATCTCTCATTGGCTTGTTGGAGTCTCTGGGTTCTATGGTTTCAGCCCGAGAACCCATCAGGGTTGCATGGGTTTTCGGGCTGGGGGCCGTGGAATCAGGGGACCACGAAAAGATCCACAGGGCGGACTAGAACCTCCAGGTAAGCATTCCCCTGCATGGGCTGGCAGCGCACAGTGTATCTCCTGCCGCCGTGCCAGGAGTGGCTATGCGGGAGGGGCACGGCCGTTACCTCCGTAGGGAGTGAAAGGCTAGGGATTCAGATCCTTGTCCCCAGTGCCCCAACTGCGGAATATCGGTTTGCACATCTGCCTATTATTGACTAGCCATGGGACAGGCTCTAACAACGCCATTGTCCATCCTGGTGAGCCATTTTAAGGATGTCAGGGCAAGGGCACACAACCTGTCCCTGGAGGTCAAGAAGGGAAAGTTTGTTACCCTTTGTAAGGCCGAGTGGCCCACGTTTGGAGGGGTGGCCCAGGGAGGGCTCGTTTGATGCCTCTTGATAGAAAAGGTAAAAGGGGTGGTATTTGGCCACCACGGCCACCCTGATCAGATCCCCTATATTGTGGTCTGGCAAGACTTGGTTCGAGACCCACCACCTTGGCTGAAGGCCTCCTACCTGCCCGAGAGGAAGCGGAAGTTCTGGCAGTTAAAAATCGAAAGGAGGCCGGAGTCCGAGGTCGTTGTGGGACGCCAGTGTTGCAGGATTCCAATCTCTACCCAGACCTAACAGGTCCCGAATGGAACACGCCTCCGCCTATAACCCTGGGGCAGCTCTGCGGCTCTCCTGGCCCAGGCGGATGCGGGACCACCGGCAGCGGGGCCAGCCTATGGGACCAGACAGCGGGCTGGCCGAGCCACAGATCGGAGCCCGTAAAGGCGCTCCCTCTAAGGGCATGGGACCCTGGGGGAGGATAGAACACAGACATTCCAATATTGGCCCTTCTCTACCAGTGATCTTTATAATTGGAAATCTCAAAACTCGAACTTCTCCGAGAATCCGAGAGACCTAATTAATCTTTTAGACTCTGTTCTTTTCACTCATCAGCCCACCTGGGATGATTGCCAGCAGTTGCTTAAGGTGCTCTTCACAACGGAGGAAAGAGAAAGGATTCAGGGGGAGGCGCGGAAGCTGGTTCCGGGGAGGATGGCAGACCACTACAAACCCGCGAACCATTGACCGAACTTTTCCCCTTGAACGGCCGCTTTGGGACTACAATGAGGCTGAAGGTAGGGAGCGTCTCCGGGTCTACCGCCAGACTCTGATGGCCGGTCTCCGTATGGCGGCACGAAAGCCGACCAATTTGGCTAAGGTAGGAGATGTTTGTCAGGGGCCGGAGGAGAGCCGCGCAGCATACTTAGAGAGGATCATGGAGGCCTTCCGGCAGTACACCCCCATAGATCCCACTATGGAAGAGAGCAAGGCAGCTGTTATGATGGCGTTTGTCAATCAGGCAGCCCCCGACATTAGGCGCAAGGTGCAGAGAATAGATAGATTGGGCGAGAAGACTCTACAGGACCTGTTAGAAGTGGCAGAGAAGGTCTATAACAATAGAGAGACGCTAGAAGAGAGGTTAGAGAGGATCAGAAGAGAAGACAGGAAATTCCAAGCTGGGGAAGCACGGAAAGCAAACAGAGAGATGGCTAAAATCCTGCTAGCTGCCACAAGAGGGGACAGATAGGGTCAGAGGACAGAGAAAGGCCCTGGCGGGAGAGGCTAGGCAAGGATCAATGTGCCAATTGCAAGGAGCATGGGCATTGGGCCCGAGAGTGCCCCAAAAGAAAGGGGGCGAAGACTTGGAGGTCCTGAAAGAGTCATGGTTGCAGGACAGGTGACAGACAAATAGGAAGATGGGGTTCGGTCCCCCTCCCTGAACTTAGGGTAACTTTGCAAGTGGAGGGGAACCCAGTCAGCTTCCTCATAGATACAGGAGCAGAACATTTGGTACTAACGGAAGACACAGGAAAATTGTCCAGTAAGACCAGTTGGGTGCAGGGGCAACAGGGCCAAACTATATCAGTGGACCACATGGCAGAGATTGGTTTGATCTCCGATAAACACTGTCCAGCTACTAGTATTGCAACAACAATATCAGCAGCTATGGTCAAGTGCTATAGAACTAGAGCACCTAAGAGACCTTGAGGACGAACAGGAGTGCTGGTCTGCTACCTAGAGAAAGGGGGGAATGTAGGGCAGAGGAATTCTTCTACTTGTCGAGAATTCACTTGGGTGGGGCAATGAGCTAACCGCAAACCTTTGCTTCTGGTCATTGCTTGCTTGCTACACCCCTTTCAACTAGCATCTCTTCACGTGTTCCAGGACTCCCGCTACACACCTGCTGGTAGGTAGACTGAGGGCATCCAACAGTCCTTGAGGCTCTGTTGGAATTTCTTCAGTCTTTTTCCTTTCTATCCTTAAATCTGATGATATTAATTGACCTGTTTTCAAGTTTGCTTGAAAAGTTTGCTTCTCCTGCCAACTCAAATTCAATTACTTTACTTTTGAACTACAGAGTTTCCATTTGGTTCTTTTAAAATGATTTCTCTGTCTGTATTGGTATTCTGTACTTGGTGAGACACAACTTGCACGGTCATTTTAATTTTTTTTTTTTTTTTATTTGAGAGACAGTCTTGCTCTGTTGCCTGGGTGCAGTGTCACGGTGTCAGCCTCTGGAGACCAGTTTCTTATCCCACAGGTTTTGTGGTTTTGTCTTTTCCTTGCGGCTCCTGTGTCTGGTGACTTTCCTGGGCTGATTCTGTGGCGTCTGCTCCCTGCCTGTGGAGCCAGTGAAGTCCCGGCTCTGTCGGTTGGGTGGTGGTTCAGCGAACAACGGGACAGTTTCCTTACATGTCCTGATCCGACAAACCTTCCAGCTTTCACCGAGGGGCTTTTGAACACTCTGGCAGGTCGCAGCTGTGCCTCAGCCTCCACATCCTGCCTGTAGAGAACCCCCGGCTCGCCCAGAAGTGAGACACGGAACGAGGTCTGTCATTCCCGGGCGTGCATGGACCCTGCACACGTGTGGCCTTGGCAGCCACAGGCATCTTGGCCAATGTGACATTGCGCAGTGGCCACTGGCTGTTTCTGGCCAGCGCACTGCGGGCTTCCCGCCGAATGAACGCCAAGTCGTGTCATGTGACGACCAGCCACGCGAACGTGGCTTTTCGGGGGAGCTGCCAGTGACAGTGCTCCGGGGTGGGACTTTCCGGGGGACCCCACACCCTGCCTGCCCCTCCAGAGGCTGCTGGTTTTCGAGGACCCGAGTGAGGAGCTTAGGGCACTCATCTCCATGCTTGGGAGTTCCTCTCCCACCTGACTTGGGATTCCGGATGCCACTGGGACGTGGTAGCCCTTGGGTGGAGACCTGTCCTGTCACCCCGGGACTGGGACTGGACACTGCAAGGTCACCTGGGCAGTGCAGGTGCTCTTTCCACACAGGAGGGAAATGGCCGTGGGCTGTCCACGAAAACCCCTCATCTGCTTCCAGCTTGCAGAACAGCCGTCAGCTTTCTCTGCAGTGGAAACCCCCATTTTCCTCCTCCTGCCCACCTGTGCCCTGGGCAAGCTGCCGGCGTCCCTGCGAGGAGGACCCTGTGCCAGGGAAGGGGCCCTGGAGTCTAGGCACTTACCTGAGCTTCACTTTGTTTTAAGGTAACAGAGGTCATGAAAGCCGCTGAAGGTCATGTCTCTGGAGGCTGTGGTCTGGTGACAGCCTGGGCAACAGCTCGGGGGACCCCGGGGCACTTGTCTGGCTCCAGCTCCAGCCAGAGCCCCCCGAGGGCAGGGTGGCCCCCAGTGTGCAGGCAGCAGCCCTCAGACCAGCAGTTCTGGGTACTCTGACGTTTTCTCAGCACCAAGTGCTCAGCCGAGGCAAGCGTCTGTCCCCAGGTGTCAGTACAAATGTCCTATCTGAGGGACGCCAGCCTTCATCATTTGTCTCGGGCAGCACCCGGCAGGTGCGTGGAGCTGCTCACACCTGGGTACGCGGCCCTGGGCGCTGAACAGGCAGCCATGGAGCTGCAGGCACCACCGTTGGGGCGGAAACCGCTGACGCCAGGTAGCTACGTTCGGGCATTTTTAAAAATGAAAAGCAGAGCTTAAAAGAAATGTCACTGTGATCTAAGTTCTCTGACTTAGGACAAATGACAACAGCTAATTTAAATCCAGAAAAAATATGTTGGGGCTTTCTGGCTCCTCTGCGGGCCCCCCTCCCAGCATGGAGGACCCGCCCTGCTCGGCCATGGTTGAGCTGAGGGAACAGGGAGGGAGTCACCAAAAATCCTGCATGGATAGGGGGAAATAAGTCGGGGCAAGGGGCTTGTCCTGTCCATTCCCCAGCCCTCGGGGACCCCACCAGGGCCTGCAGACAAATTCACAGGACTTGGGGACCCTCCCAGGTCCAGCTGCTCTGTAGGGGACATAGTGACCAGCAGCCAAGTCCCTTCTGGGGCACAGGTGTGCCCGGTGCTCTGAGGACGTCCTTTCTGAAGCTTCACGTGCCCACCCCCGGTACAGGGCACACAGGAAGCAAAGACGGCTGCACCCCACCCCCAAGGTAAGAGCAAACAGCTTTGTGCCTCCCTGACCCCAGGCTGCAGTTGGTCCGCGCCCCATCTCTGCCTCCTTGCAGGAGCGGGTGAGCCTGGGTGACAGCCTGACACTGCGAGGACACGCCGGGCCCCAGACCTCACGCTCACCCCAGCTCTCTTGCCGGGAGACCTTGAAGGGGGACCCACGTCTGCAGAGCCACTGGGAACCCTGGCAGCGTCTTGGCCCCACGGGGCACCTGCAGGCCGGAAGCCCGAACCAACCGTCTCTCCAGGGCTGGGGCGCTCAGACCCCAGTGAGTGACCTCTTGTCTCCTGTTTCTTGCAGGCCCCTTGGGACTGACAGCCCCAGGACTGGTCCCCAGGTCTGCCTGCATCGATCTGCCACCTGCAGCGCAGGCCCAGGTGAAGGTTGGGGGGAGGGGAGGTTCTGCAGGGGTCCCACGTCAGGGCAGGAAGGAAGGGAAGATAGAATTTGTTTTAAAATGTAAAGCTAGCGATCTGTGAGGAAGAAGCATTGACGACACTCGAGTCTGTAAGTGGACAGGGCTGCCCAAGGGACGGTACGTGTACAAGAGCATTTTAATTAATTTATTTCTTTACACATAACTGAAAGTGATGTTACAGTACATAAGTTATTTACAACTGTGCAGTAATGTGTTGCAAAATAAATTATCTAAAGGCAGCAAAAGTACATTGTGAATGTATATAAAACTGTACAGCGTTTACGGATACACTTTTTATATGATTATTGGCTCTGTAGTGTTTCAAGTTATGTTCTCAGAAAGAGAAACAAAATGCCCAAGATTAAAGGAAAAATATACAAACCACGTGGATTTGACTCCATTAAAAACACTATCGAGAGTCCGGCTCTGCGTCCCTCTGGGCCAGGCGGGGCACGGCAGCTCCCGCTCAGCCCAGCGTCCCCCATCCCAGTCCGAGGCCAGCGCCAGCTCCATGGCAACAGGACCTTGGCCGGGACGGCGCTCTCCTGCCCTCTGACCTGGAGGTCACTGTGAGGTGGACACTGTAATTTATTTCCTTTAGCTGATCAGAATGGAACAGGAAATTTAAAAACGCTCTCTGTTCTGCGACTCCCGAACGCCTCCGCAGCCGGCCGGACGCAGGACCCGAGGGTCCCCGTTGCCAGGGGTGGGGGTCGCGTGTCTGCAGCTCCTCCTCTCACCCGGCTGGCAGGATGTGCTGGGGGGCCGAGCCCCCGCAGCAGCTGGTATAAAAGAGAAAAGGACGCGTCCCACCTCGCTGACGCCTGGGCCAGTCTGGAAGGGGTGGGGACGCCACAGCCAAGGTGGCATCTCGAGGGTCCCTGCCGGCAGACGCGGGGCTCCTCCACCGCCAGGGCTCAGCAGCAGCAGCGGCCGACTCGCGCGGCCCTCGCCTGTGTCCCACGGCCTCACCGGTGTCACGCCGGCAGCAGCACGAAGTCATCGTTGACGTCCACCATGGGCACGTAGAAGGAGGGCACCTCGTTGACGCACAGCGACTTGTGCCCGGCGGGGTCCAACTCCTGCACCTTCAGCTGCCACTCCATCCGCTGCACGGCGTTGAGCGCCGCGGCCTCGTGCTGCTGCCGCATCAGGAGGCAGGTCTGCGGACACAAGCGGGATGAGGGGGCGAAGGGCCCAGCTCCAGCCACCCGTCCAGCCCTGACCTGCCAGCAGTGTTGAGCACACCTGGCTCCCACTCCCTGCAGGACGGCCACTGGCACACCCCGGGGAACACGGTGTCCCCCTACTTGCTTGGCAAATACCGGTCGTGTAGGACGTCTGTCCCATCACTGCCCTGTGAGGCCCCCACCCGCTGACCTGGGTCGGCCTTGGCAGCCACAGTGTCTCACAAGGAACTCGTAACAGCTCTGCTTCTGCTGTTTCCATTTTACCATCATCTGTGGCCAGTGATACTATTTGCATTTGCAGCAGAAACTACGCCATTTGGACGTGCAGGTTAGAGGACTGGGTCAGGGCACGCACACACACCTGGGAGCAACTGGGGAACCCAGGCCCAGCCCAGGGAGGGAGCCATGCTGGCCTGTTTGTGTAGGAAAACAGCCTTATTTTTGTAGATGTATGTTGAGGATGGGGAAATCATCTTCAAAATCTTCCAGAAATAGCCAGTCTGCTGTTAAGTGGGGTCTGCTTCTAGCCCAGTAAGGGAGCTCAGAGCTCAGACAGCTTCACAGGCTGGGCGCAGCGTAAATGACTGCACAGCATTGGATGGTGACCCTGTGCCGCTCTCTGAACGCTCCCAGAATCCATTAAACAGCAGAATTACTGATGGACCTCTGGGTTTCTAGGTTACTTCCAATGAACATTTTTACATACAGCCCCAATTCTGAAACTCACTATTGTCTGCTTAACAAAATCCTGCTCAGTGGCGCCTCCCCCAGCACTGCAAGGAGATTGCCCCAACCACACGTCCCCTGGTAAGTGGGATCTCATTAATTTGTGGCTCTGAAGTTAATGAAAAGATAATTCAGTATAATTATTAAGATTTGGCCATTTTACCTCCTACCTTTTCTACTAATTTTTTTTTTTTTTTGAGACAGAGTCTCACTTTGTTGCCCAGGCTAGAGTGAGTGCCGTGGCGTCAGCCTAGCTCACAGCAACCTCACACGCTGGGGCTCAAGCAATCCTCCTGCCTCAGCCTCCCAAGTAGCTGGGACTACAGGCATGCGCCACATGCCCAGCTAATTTTTTCTATATATTTTTCGTTGGCCAATTAATTTCTTTCCATTTATAGTAGAGATGGGGTCTCGCTCTTGCTCAGGCTGGTTTCAAACTCCTGAACTTGAGCAATCCGCCCACCTCCGCCTCCCAGAATGCTGGGATTACAGGTGTGAGCCACCGCGCCCGGCCCCTTTTCTACTAATTTGTAAGAGTTCTTTTTACGTTAATAAAGTAAACTTACATGGCATTTCTAATGTACAAAGTCTAATATTAATAGAATCAAACCCTTTTTTTAATGAAGTGTTCCCTGTATATTTATAAAACTTGTGGTCTGTTGTTACTTACAGCTTTGTTTATGGAAGGCGTTTAGTAAAAGGAGTGAAACTGGTCTCACCCCGATCACAGCTCCTGCTTCGCAGGGCCCGGCCATGCCCTCGCCTGCTGGTCTCTGTCCGCATGGCACCTCCGCCACTCGGCTAAGAGCAGGCGAGGCTGTTCCCTGACAACGCCACCTACTCAGACACTGTGGTTGGGGGCAGGGAGCTCTGCCTCCCTCTCCTCTCTCCGATGGGGCAACAGTATATTTGGGGGGATGCTGACCTGTATATTTTAATTTTGTAACTGGTGAGTCACTGTTTTTCCTAGTTTCTCAGTGGATCCTCACAGGCACCCACTGCAGGGCCCCTGTCATCTGCTCACCTTCCTACCTCCTGCCCACCCCCTCTGGGCCGCTGCCTGGCCGGGGCTCTCCAGAACAGGGGAGGGGGTGGGCACCTTGACCTCTGAGAGGGCTCATGGTCAGGTCCCGCAGCGGGTGCCACAGCCACGCCCCACCCCCTGGATGAACGGGCAGAACCTGGGCTCCCCAAGGGCCTGGGCACCTCCCGCTGTGGCCCTGGGAGACATGCAGGACGCACCTTCATGCGGTCGTACTTGTCGTCCACGTCCTGCAGCCAGGAGATGAACTGGCGGGCGTTGAACCGGTCCCGCACCGACTTGTTCTCGTCACCCTGTGGGGTCAAACAGGTGTGCGTGGTGAGGCCATGGAGACAGCCACAGGAAGACCCCAGTCTGGCCTGCCCCTCTTCCCCAGCAGCACTGGAACCATGCAGGGGCTGGGCCTCCCGGGCGCTGTCGGCTCAGCTCCGTCTGGGCCAGGCTGCCAGAGGGTAGTCAGAGCTCAGAGAAGTGCCTGTCCACAGCTGAAGCTTTCGAAGTGTGCGCCATCGTCCCCATGCCCTGGGAGGGGAAGGAGAAGGTGCCCTGGCCTCCATCTCCTTTTCTGTACTTTTGAGGAGTGGTAGAGGGTTCATGGAAAGCTGGTGGAGGCATCTGTTTCAATTTCTTCCTTTTTTAAAAATGGAAATTTTTCTTCCTTGAAAATTAAATTTGAGGCCTGAGGTAGAGCAGCCCGGGGCCGGCCTCCTGGCTGCCACTGTGCACGGAGCGTGTCTTTACGAACTGCCACCCTGACTTTTCCTTCGGCACGTCTTCACCCACGGGGATTGCGGTTTGCAAACAGGGAACCCAAGAGACTGGGAATCCCTTTTGAGGAGCAGCAGCAGCTGCGGCGGCCCCTGCAGAGCCCTGTGCTGACACGTCCCTGGGTGTCAGCCAGCTGCCGTGTCCCGAGCAAGAAGAACATGCCCAAGTTTCTTCCCAACAGCTACGCCTGTGACCCGCCGGTGCCTGGGGCCCCGCTTGGCACCGCACACGGCAGGGAAGAGGCCACAGCCTAAGACATCTCTTCTTTGACGTTCAGAAGTAACCCAGAAATTCATTATAAGTAGTTTTCTTTAGGTGCAAAAAGCAAAACTTCTAAATATTCAATCCCAGAAGTCTTCATCTAGTCCTCAACTAAACGTTTGGTTTCATAGCTTATTCTACACAAATATTTTACTTTAAAGAAAACCCGTCACTGTGCATGACATGTTAAATGGACGAAATCTGTAAGGTACATCAAAGAAAGGATGATCTTGAATGCATTAAGAAACGTTTTAAACTAAAAACTACTAAACTGCTGTGTGTTACCACTGGGCGACTCTGGACTGACACAGAAACCCTAGGGGCCCCATGGTCCTTGTCAGCCGCGCTGAGCAGAAGCCCAAGCTGTGGGGGTCATGGGCTGGGGGCAGCTGTCATGAGGGGACGTGCAGGCTTAGCTGGGCTGACCGGCCGGCAGACAGCAGCGAGGACCAGAGTCCACTGGGCACGTGGGGCCTGAGACACGAACGTGGGTGGGTCAGAGGTTGCTGGGGGTCCCCGGTCTGTGGAGCCCCTCCCAGGCAGACGGGAGGAGCTTGCCCTGGCCAGCCAAGTCCTGCCCCAAGGACAGAAGAGGGAGGGTGTGTGCCTGTGTCACAAGTCCTGGTACAGGTCCCATTTAGGGGAGGTGTGGGCTACAGCAACCTGGGACAGAGCAGACCTGGGGCAGCCGGAGCATCACAAGATGAGGTGGCTCCTGGGATAGCGAGTGCCACCAACCCAGACCAGAGGAGGCTGTGTGTCCGTTAGCAGTGAGAGGCTGTGCTGGGCACCCTTGGCCCCCATAGGGACATGTGTCCTCTTGGCCACCCCTCAGCTGGGGGCCCCTTTGTCCCAGCGACAGCCCCCACAGGCATCCCAACTGAAAGGACAAATGTCTCAGGATTCAAAAAACTCTTTAGTGGCCAGACCACACTGGGGCCCACCCAGGGGCCCAAGGCTTCCCAAAAGGAAGCCTTCCCTCTCCCCATCTCTGTCCGAGGTGTGGGGAGGCCGGGCAGGCTGTGACTGCGGCCCCTTCGAGGTGCCGGCACAGGGAGGCCGTGGAGGCTCCCAGACGACGTG